TGATGTCCTACCTTTCCAGGGGCGTTAAACTCGTTTTAGGGGTGTTAAAGAGTATATTTTCAGTTTCTTCAAAATATTTGCTATATGAGCAAACCAATCACATTTTGAGATTCATTATCGCATTCCTCACAAAATTCTGCGTCAAACGAGCCTACATGTGATAGGGTTCAGATAAGCGGTCAGCACATGACAAGCAAGTCAAAAAGTACAAAAAATGAAATAAGTCTATGCCATTTTTGAACAGAACCCCATCATATGTAGGCTCGTTTGACGCGGAATTTTGCGTAGATTACGAAAATAGGTTTTAGAATCCAATGTTGTTCCATAGGAAAGAAATATTTCGCAAAAACAGGAATTGTAATGCCTTTGAAGCTTTAACGCCTTTTAAAGGTAGGATGTCCTCCCTTTGTTTTACCAGTGTAAACGAACATTTAGCGAACAGAACGCAAACGGCATGGAACGCCACCTTGACGAACGTGCAGCGTCCTACTAGCAGAAGGTCCTACTAGTAGGTTCGTCTCTGTTCGTCATGACAAACTAACAAGCAGGCCCGCCCTTCCGCCAAACGGAGTTGTCAGCTCCACTTCGCTGCTCCGGAAACTCCGTTCGGCAGGGGCCGGGCCTGCTTAGCCTGCCCGCGGCAATGGTCGGGCCTGCGGCCCGAGCATTTCTGTCTCGCAATTTACTGAAGTGCATAATCAAATAAATAATGAGACCTGTATAGATCACTTTGCATATTTGACTAAACTATGGCGTTCGGCGGGAGGCCTGCGGCCCTAGAGATTTGCTCCTTGGACATGACAAAAGACTGTAACGGGGCAACACCGTGACTACACCCCACCCTTCTGCTTTTGCTTAAGAATTAAAACAAAAATGAACCCGAGCAGTTTTTCGATTGTATATTGTTTATCAAAGAGTCTTAACTTGACTTTTTGCCATTGTTTTCAATATATCCACTGTTCTGAACAGGATGTTCTCAGATATGATGGTGGCTAGGTCAAGGATCAGGGAAGTAACACACAACAAGTACCGGATGTTTAGACTAACTGTTT